AACAATATCCATATTCAACTGTTGTTATAAATAAATATTTGGAGAAAAAAAAAAAAAAAAAACTAGAGCACTGAACTGCCTCAGTGCACCCTGGCAATATTCTAAAACCATCTGCTTTTGTCATTTAATTGCATTCAGCGCTGGTCTTCCTGGGTGAATTTCCAGCTCCTTGCTTTTAGTTTTGGAAACCTGCCTGCCTCATCACTTATTCACTTTGGAAGCAGCAGGAAGCAGATTAGAATAGGAGATAGATGGAGGATAGGATGGTTAGTTAGGCAGACAGTGATATTACAGCAGTCCAAACGTTTGATTATACCAGAAACACTAGAGCTCATCTTGACTGTAAGAATGTCATTTACACATCCAAGATGTAGAAGACAAAAAAAAAAAAAAAATACTTCATTTTACCCAGATCATGTTTAAGTATGAGCTTGATTTTTTTAAAAATCAAGAAAAAAATAGCTCATTTCTGGTTCTCACTGACCTTTGATTTCTGTATATCGGTTTTAGGTTTATATTGTAATATTATTTATCCCACACTGCAGTTTATAAATTACAAAGTAGCAACAAATTATTAAACACATCAAACCAGAAACACATTTAAAAACCTTGGCACAACTAAAACTGCAAGTGTTTTTTTTTTTTTGTTGTTGTTGTTTTTTCCCCCAAGTCAAACAAAAAATAACCAGTTGCAAACATTATGCAAAGCAGGGCCCCAGCTTCTGGCACACCTCCTGAGGAATCATAGCCATCTTATTATGAGCTACGGCCTCAAATTCTGCACTGTAATTCTTCCAGAAGTTTGTCTGGAACCAACTTTTTCTGGACTTTGAGATATGCTTCGGATCATTCTCTTGTTGAAAGGCCCAGTGATGCTCTAGCTTCAGCTCCTTTGCTGGAGATTCACCCGACAGGACCACAAGTGAGTCACTATTTTTATTTTTCTCACACTTTTAACACTTTGATTTGTTTTCCATTTCATCTAATTTATGCAATTGTCACACATTTTTTCATGTGTTTAGTAATGCCTGTACAAACAAGTTAATGAAATGATCTAAGATCTTTCTTTCTAAAGAAAGAAGAATTTCAGCTGCTAATCAATCTTGTAATAAAACTCTTTTTGATTAAAAATCTAAAATTACCTTTTTTTTAAAATGACAGCTGAATTCCAAGATTGTGACCAGTTTTAATTAAAAGCCTAATGTATTTTATATATATATATATATATATATATATATATATATATACTCTTTTTTGTGCAGTTTTTTTTTTGTGACTTGAAAACCCTCCAAAAAACTGGCAAACTACAGTTTTGTCTCATCCTTGACAAGAAATCAGATGCCAGCAAGCTCAATTAGGTGCAACAAACACAGGCCGGAGCAATAATCCCGGTCATTTCTGCTTTCACACGAACACCTTCACACCCACGCTGTCTGGGCTTTCTGGCTAACGCGCAAGTACATGTTTAGTCCATATCAACGAACCCAGCAGGTGGTTGGAGAGTGTATGTGTGTTTGTGTTTGGATTTGTTAGAGTAGATAGTTTGTTGCTTTGTTGGAGCGGCTAATTTGACCATCTGGACTATTAACATGACAACAGAGGGACTGGTTACAGTACTAGCACACAATCAAGAGCAAAACACACAAATCCTAACCCACACCCATGCACATTTACAATGGCAGACTTTAAAAAGCCGTCCTTAAATGCGTATTTGTTGATGGAGAGGCTCTGTGCTTCAGTGAAGAGTTAAACCTTTTAGAGCAGAGCAAATTATCTTCTAAACCAATCCAAGCCAGACGAATTAGCGCGCACATTTGGAGAGATAGAGCTCAACTGTCATTCTGCAACATGGCATGAAATTTGATAAATCAAAAATGTCTCTCTTTTTTTGTTTTCTGTGCTGTACGTTTTCATCAACTTATAAAGTGCTTGCAAAATAACTCATAACCCTGCAACTTCTGCATATTTTGTCACATAACGTACAAATATCGATGCATTTAAAGACATTTTATGTAATGAAACCAACACAAAGGAGTGAGTTCAAACTTTTCAATGACTATACAGCCAAAACCTCCCTGGAGAGCTACTGTCACATCACCCATACAGGTACAGGTACAACTTAAAAAGTAGAATATTGTATAGGTCGACTCTGCTGTACTTCTGCAGTGATAGGAAGGCAGCAGAGGACAACCCTGTTAGAGGAAGCGTGTCTGGGACAGTAGTCAAGATTCACCGTCCAGCACCACAGTGTCCCTCATGCAGACATACAAATTAAATTATTAAGTGTCAGGCATATCTAGGTGTGAGAAAGGCTCACTCAAAGTCCTTTTGAGAACTTGTGGAAACACTTGAAAGTTTAGGTTCATAAGCTCTACATACATACAAATTGGCTGAGCTTAAACTTGTTTTTCAAAGACGAATGGGCAAAAATGTCAGTCTTTAGATGAGTCTGGCTGGTAGAGACATAGCGCCACTATGTCTCTAGGTTAAAAGTCATGTTTTCAGATAGCACGCTTTACATTCTTTGTGTTGGTTTATCACAATCATCTCAGTAAAAAAAAAAAAAAAAAACACTGAGGGTTTTGGATCAAGCGAAACAAAATGAGACAATAGGTAATAAGAGTTTTTCAAGGCATTGTGTCCAGTATTGAATTGAATGGACACACAGAATACAAATCGCAAAACCAAACAACCAAAGCAAAGTGTTAAAATGTAATTAATTACAAAGCATGCAAAGCAAACACATGCAAGGACATCCTCACCTCTGTTTGAAGACCTGACATTATGACTCATAATGTTATAACTTGGCAAACATTCACTTGCTAACTGCAATAAATATCTGGCATGGAATTATGTGATTTACTGGTGAGCAGGAAGAAGCTTTAAAAACTCAGAATCATGCTGTTTTTCTGGTTCTAAACACTCAACGTGAATGTTAAACTTCACCGTTGGTGTGTGAGTAACAAGGCTAAGGTAACCAGAAATAACAGTAGACTAATGCAGATTTTCCAAAATAAAAGCTCATTGCAGGGACTGTTTGATTTGAGGTGTTCCAGTTATAGCGGTGGTATAATCTGGAAAAGAAACTACACACACACTACTGGCAACAGAGACATGTAAGATTTCTAAACAGCACACATTTTCAATGAAGAGATTCTCTGAGCAAAAACACCATTTACCAGTTGTTTTTTTGCCCAGTAAAACAAATTTACTGGGCTGTTGAGGAACTATAACGTTCCAATGATCTCTCCAGAAAATGCGAGGATGCATTTACGAGTCCACTACAGCCGCAGCACAGAGATGTTACGTGTGATGAGTATCACGAGGCGCCGGTGTGCCATTTGTGAAACAAAGTAGAACATAAAAGCAGGGAAATGTTATCCTGAATATCTCTAAGAGCTAAAACGGTCAGCTTTGTAAAACAGTGTGAATCCGTGTATTTATGGGAAAACAGGCAGAGAAGAAGTGAGGTAGAAAATAATAGTGTAACATAAGTGACTTTATTTATGGGTTAGCTGAAAACCGTAGTTGAATTGTAATATAAATGTTGAATTCTACATAGATTGATCATACAGGAGGTCCTTCCCATGTCAGAGTGCTGAAAGAACATGAGCACTTTAAGACAATATTCACGTTTCCTTTTCTTATTAGAATATCTTAAGTAACGCCATTACATATCTTAAAGATAATGTAACCCCTCGTAAGGATGTAAAAAAATGTAAAATGTCTTAACAAGAAACTTACAAAAAAAAAACAACAGTCAAACTTTTAGTTAAGAAATGTTAATTATTTGCAGCAATCTCACTAATCCCACTGAGATTGACAATGACTATTTTAACTAATACAGCTAAAATAGGGATTAACTACATAATCAGGATTAACCACATAAATCCTGATTTTATTTATGCAATTATTATTAATTTACTTGTATACTGTAGTAGTATTATTGTTTGTTATCCTCTGGATATATTTACCGGTGTATCCACAGTAGTTCTAAATGCATCTAAGGTCACATTCACAGTATTATTTTTTGCAATCAATGACAAGTATTGGGTTTTCTCTTGTGTGTTTCTGATACGTGGGTCAGACGTGGCCAATCAAGTTTATTATGCATACTTAAATGATCAATCGCTGCTTAATTTAGAATCTACTTCAAAGCAAAAATTATTATTATTAAAACAAATAGATAAATTAAATGAAGTCGGGTAGTTAGGGGCTAGTTAGGGGAGAGATATCTAAAGGTTGTTGGACCCTAGTTTCTAAAATGACTCATTGTTTTGCGACGACGCTTGTGCGTATGCTAAATATGAAAGAAGTGCTGCATCTTACTTTATGTAACATTCACTTTAGCTAGTTTTCAAGGTAAAGAAAACATAAGACACATAAAAAAGCTATATATTCCAAATGATAATCCCAGCCTAGCGTTAGATTGTACAACTCAGTAATTGCTTTGCTGACCCTAATAACCTGAGCCTAAAGATGCATCAGTACAACAAAAAAAGAAATAAAGAAGGACATGTACGTATATAGGAAAAGGTTAGAGAAAGGGGCCCAGGTTGGGCCATAAACAGTGTTACAGCAGATGATTTGCATCTAGCCTGAAGCAAGCCAGAACAAACCATGATTAAGCTTATCAGAGCAAGGCTGTGATTAAATATATCAAAGCAAACAAAGAAGAGGCAAGACACTGTGACCTTAACAGACACACAAAAAGTCAAACCATGGAAAAAACACAACAGTCAACAGGAATGCAAAAGTAGCTTTCAGCAAAGGCATTGCTATTCTCAACACATCTGTGCAACATCACTTCCACATGTTTAGTGTTTCTTTAAACTGAGAAAATGGTCAAATATAAGGCATTAAAATATATATTTTTGAGTCAAAGCACAAACGTGTTGAATATGACAATAGGCCTTTAGAAGAGAGAAAAGAAGGGGGAAAAAAAGCTAAAAACAAACCAACAGTTTAAGCCATTACATGTTATTTCATTAAGCAAAGGGACACTGAGAATTGAACTCACATATTGAAAACTTGTTGCTGGAGTCTTTGCCGGGGAATAATTTTACGCCCCTCGACTTAAAATCTACTGATCGCTTCACTGCAGAGGAGAACAGAATACAGAAAAAAGAGAAGAAAAAATCAGATAACAGAGTTGATAAAAACAGAAAGAATATATCTGACCTAATGAAAGGATTAAAATGAAATGGCTCGTTCCTCTCTCTGTTGCAATGCTGCGAGAGAAAAGAGCAAAGCAAAAACAAACGGCAACAAAAAAAAAATCAAATGGTGGAAACAGACGGACAGAGAGGAGAAAGGAGAGAAAAATGGAAGCACAGATGAAAAACAGAATCTTATAAGTAGTGTCATTCAGGATTTTTAATCATGTTAATATTTCTCTCTCTCACTCCCTCTCTCTCTCTGTCACTCTTAAATGAAACACTTGGGATGTTCTGCTGGAAGCTCCATCAGATTCTTAACAAAAGCTGAGAAGGGAAATTGCAGCTTTAATCAAAATAACTCACAATGCAGCTCTGTAATCAAAGCATTCAGATAATGAAACGTTAGGAAATAGATGGCTGGATGGAGCAAATCAAAGACAAGAGGAGGCAAACTGATGGGGAGTAAATCCCTGTCAGCGTGAGCTCTGGTATCATCATTTCATTATGAGCCACATTAACATACGGCACTGAACCTGTAGATTAATATAGCTTAGCAAGTGTGGCTGCAAAGACAGGCTATAGATGACAGCGTGAGTGGGTGAGAGCTATATCTGAATTAGAGCACTAATGAGGAAAAAAACAAAACACTCCAGGATAGTCTTAATTAGATTTCCTTTTGAAGTATTTTTTTTTTGTCCTACTGTCAACAATATATAAAATAAATAAGAAACAAATAATTTCTGACTGTTATATAAAAAGGATACGTCTCGTCTACAAACGCATTCACAAATTACTGATGATTGTCCGAAAGGCTGACTGACGGACACCGATTTCAACGATTCCATCAAATAATCGCAAATAGCAAAAAAAAAAAAAGAAAAGATTATTCCAATATCAAACAGTGGCAACATTTATGCACATACATCACTCTGTTTGCATTTTATACATGTGAAGAACAACATAGAATAAAAATGCTAATATTAGTGCCAACACATTGACATGCGAGTTGGTATTTAATTGTTCAGTCAATAATGTCATAATGTAGCATAGAAAGTTCCAAATTCAGCACACAATCTTGTCTAAGAAGTCTCGATTTTCAAACTACAAACATTTCCCATCGTATATTTATGTAGTTTAAATTTAATGGCATGTGAAAGACAGTTCATGGTTTTCTCCACACATTCTCTCTGCAGCATCGAGGAAGCAGCTCTCCCCGTGGCCCACACGATTTTGCGAGCAGTCAGTCACCTGTGTACGATGGTTGAATGAGGCACCTTGTTTAGCAAAACGTGTTTCATGTTTGGGAATCAAAGTGAATGACACTTTGTCTACCAAAGGTGTACAAAACATTCCTATTTTTACACTAGTTTATGAATAAATGCTGGAAAAGCGCACACGTTTTTTTGAAAGCAGATGCATAGGACAGGAATAGATCAGCCTTTTCATATCTGTAAGCTATGTAACATGATGTTCAACAGAGTTGCACTTTGTTAGTCCTCAGAATATTTTATTAGGAATTGTTGAGGTGTTTTTGTCACAGTGGGAGACAAGTCACTGGTGTTTCTTTTTGCTCAGCTGTGGTTTTTAGCTTGGAACTATTCAACGGCTGCCATTTTTTGCCCAGTCTCTTTCTTATTGTCGAGTCATGAAGACTGACCTTAACCGAGGCAAGAGGGGCCTGCAGTGCTTCAGATGTTGTTCTGGGTTCTTAATGAGTTGTCGGTGCACTCCTGGAAAAGGTTTGGGGACCAGTCACTCCTGGGAAGCTTCGCCTCAGCTCTCTTTTTTTTTTTTCTGTCCATTTATGATTCTCACTGTGGTTTCCTGGAGCCTTAGAAATAGCGTTGTTACCCTTTCCAAGCTGACAGATGTCATTGACTTTTTCAGCTGTTTCTGAATTTACTTTTATCAGGGCATGATGCATTTCTGTTTGAAGTCTTTAAGCCTGTTTTGTGTTGTCAGACAGATCCTATTTAAGATGTATTGCATCAGGTTTTAATCAGGCTTGGATGTGCCAAGTCAAACTTAAATCAGCTTCAGTGTCAACCACTGTTAGTGCACCGATTTAAATGAGGCTAATTCTATTTTTACACAGTGCAAGGTTGATTCCCAATTCTTTTCCTGAATAAAAATAATTATAACTTTTCCTTTATTTGACGCTGCAGTGTGTAACTTTTATAAAAAAATGTCTTTTTACATATCTGTTGAATTTCTCACTGTGTCGTGACAGTATGGTAAGAGACAAAAAAAACCTGAAAATATTAAGCTCCACCGCTTTCCCCAGTGCTAACTATAAACAACCCACTAGAACCAGGAGGCAGGTCTCTGATTGGTTGTTTTCAGTTCAGATCATGCATTTCTTCAGACTGCAACAGTAGCAAGAGGGAGGAAGACAGTCTTTTCACAGATTTTCTGTCTTATACTGTCACGACATAGTGACACTTTGTATAAATACGCGTTAAAGCATATTTGTCTGAAATTAAAATTAGTTTTTGGTGCATTTACATATAAAAATTCAGAAATAATGTTTTCACAGCACTCTGAGAACTCTAATATTATCCAACTACATGTGTTTTAACATATAACATAGGGCAGCTATGCAAATTCCAAACCATTATCTTAACTGGAGAAATAGGTTAACTAGTCTAGCATGATTTGCTATATACTTTAGGGGTAAAGGGGAAAAAATACATACATTTCAATGTTTGTACATTTATAAATTTAGTAGGGTGTTCAAACCACAATTAAGTGCTAGTTGTAGGAAGTTATCAACTCCCTACAATAATGGCCTAAGTTTTTTTTTTTTTT